CTACCAATAGTAATCGGAGCACTGGACCTCGTGAGAAAAGGAATGGAAAGTTTTTCTAATAGTGTTCCAGCTATCATCTACATATTAGTTGCCCAGAAGATTACCCTACTAGGAACATTTCATATATTAAGAAAAGTGCTATCAATTAAATGACAATTCTCTTATAGGACTTAAGGACCGTAGCTTGGTCTCGGCTCTACAGGATAAAAAGGCGGAAACATAACATACACAGATAATAATAATAATAATAATAATAATAAGGACCTGTTACAATTTCATGGGACTACACAATACACAGAGACAGAACAATCAAAACCAACCGCCCAGATATTATTAGAGATCGCATACAAAAAGGTGCCTCCTTATTGATATGGCAGTACATCCAGACTGCAATGTATCTTTCAAGATCTTCAAAAAGATATCAAAGTACAAGGACCTTGAAATCGAACTCTCAAAAATGTGGCACATGGGAGCATCAACAATACCGTTGTAGTTGGAGCCCTCGGATTGGTTGGAAAAGACGCCAGTAGACTCATTGAAGGGATACCTGGAAGTCCATGCCTTAAAGAAATGCAAACAAATAGTTCTCACGAGTACAGCCCACACCTTACGAAGGGCTTTGCCTATGTAATTTTTTTTTCCAGTGGAAGATGTCATGATGGTATTTCTAACATTAGGTCCATAAGCGGGACCCGGAAAGAAATGATTACACAACAAAAATCAAAGGAAATAAAATAATAAGAAGAAGATGAAAAGGTCAGCAGTGACTGTATGAATAACAAGGATCCTTGAAATAAAGATTCCAAACTGACTTCATTAATAACACTCAAAAATTTACTATTAGCAAAAGGTTTTAACAACAACTCAATTAAGTCAGGATATTTCGGGTAGCAGCTGCCACTTGAACTGCTTCTCAACTGATCTGACTTTTAAATGCAAAGTCAACCTGCGTTTGCACAATTTTTTTTTATATTCAGTCCTCAAAAGAATAAAATCTGGAATAAATGCCCAATAGTGCAACACAGAAAGTTTGAGACTTCTACTGGAAAACATCGCTGACACAGAAAAGGGGATACGGGCTGTATGGGCAAATGTTGATCGCCTATAAAAATTTTCCTAGGACTGGCACAGTGCAAAAAGTACCGGCAATATTTTGAAAAGAAAAGTGCGAAGATCCGTAGTCAGTAATGGCAGAATGATTGTACACAGAATAAAATAATCGGTTTAGAAACAGTATCAAGATTATAATTTATAATTAAAGGTCATATCTTCTAAAAACTTACTCTCACAGAGGATGAATGAAATAGAGAAACAAAGGAAATTGTTTCTAGAAAATGTATATCGAAAATTACAATGGCTGAGATATTCATTGAAACAATAATAAAAAAAAAGACAAGATTATTTGAGAAAACTCACATCCGGTCAGCTGAAAAAAAATATTAAAACGAAGATATAAATTAAAATTTTACAACATATAAACATTTGTAAAGCAATTTTAAATAAGCGCTTTCTTCTTGTTCTTGTTCTTCTTATTTTTCTTCTATTATACTCCATATGTGTGTGTGTGTGTGTGTGTGTGTGTGTGTGTGTGTGTGTGTGTGTGTGTGTGTGTGTGCTTTGTGGAAAACGTCAGCACAAAAGATCTAATCATACGGAAAGTAATTCTCATGAATCAATAATATATATATATATATATATATATATATATATATATATATATATATATATATATATATATATATCTCTACAAAATATTATAATATAGATAATCTCTACAAAGGCGGTTCATAATTTTCTAATGAGTTCATATCGATATTTTTTATGTTCCCTGAGACACTGAAAAAGGTGATTAATTATATATATATATGCATATGTGTGTGTGTGAGTGTGTATATATGAGCGTACGTGTGTGTGTGTGCGTGTGTGTGTGCGTGTGTGTGTGTGTGTGTGTGTGCGTGCGCGCGCGTGTGTGTATGATATTACTTATAATATGTTTATTTAACCAGAAAAGAGATTGTGAACAGAACCCGTTATGGATTGTACTTTATCTATCTATCTATCTATCTCTCTCTCTCTCTCTCTATATATATATATATATATATATATATATATATATATATATATATATATATTGTGTATTTAGGCAGCAATCGTTTTATGCACATTTCATTGAACATGACAGACAAGGTGCTTTTACTTATTTTTTTTATACAATTTTTCATGTGATCTAATAATTTATTTTCTTTTTAGATGATAAACTATATAAGAAACTGCCCGAATGTTCTTTTTATCCGAGCGCTTTCGGCTATACATTTAGCCATTTTCAAGGTTGAAATATATTAGTTGTTAACAAGAAATAGTTTGCTGCATGTATGTATTTATAAAATGTTTTCATTTTCAAAACACGGTAAAGATATTTTGTCCATGTTCATAGTTGATATTATTTAGTGTTTTTTTTTTTGCTTTTATTAATAAGGCTTCCATTATTTTCAGCCTTTTTTTCATGCAGATGATGCAATCATATTATTGCCAACAAGTATGTTACGAATAGTGTCCGATAGGTCACCCTGAATATTTCAATGTGACCTAATTGAGCTATAGTCATGTGAAGCCGCTCTACCCCGATGTCACCGTGTTGTTTTCTTTCCTTGGAGCACACTTCATCCCAACGAAAGCTCACGTTTTCTCTTTCCTCACACCAGCTCTCGGTGTAATTCGCGTCTCCAGCTTCAGCGATCGGTGGTGACGTCTTCTACCTCACGAAGTCCATATCCATCGCTCTCATGTCTCTTTTGCAGACGCCCTTGAAGCTGTGGTCATTTTCCGTACAGAACGACATTCAGAACCCCCATCATCAGACTGCTGCTTCCCATATTTTGCATTCGCAGTGAGGCGACACTGGAAGGGTTCACTGCAGGACGCAGAACTGGGCAGGGATTTTATGAGAGATTACCGGCTGTCCTTGCAGCACGTCTGGCCTCAAGACGACACCGATGTTGTCCATTGGGAAGGTAGAGTCGAAAATAAGCATTATAGTGACCCAAGGTTGTTGGTTTCCATTCTTTTTCCCCCTCTTCCGATATGGTGAGAAATGTGTTTGTTTAGGCCTCATAGTCTTACCACTATTAGGGTTGTGGAGGTTTTGGAGAAGGTATCCTGGGGAAACTGCATTTTCTGAGTTTACTTTATATATATATATATATATATATATATATATATATATATATATATATATATATGGGGATAGAGATCGACAGAGTAAAAAAGAGAGAGTGTGGGCTTAGTGAATCTTATGATTTATCTCATAGATTGAGAGATTTTTGGTTTGGTTTGGTTTGGTTTGGTTTGGTTTGGTTTGGTTTGGTCTGGTTTGGTTTGGTTTGGTTTTACGGCATATCAATGTCAATGTCATATATATATATGCCGACAAAATTTTTTATTGTTGGTAATAAATTGTTCTGTCAAAGAACTATTTCTGGTAATATTTTTCCTTCAAAAATGTATTGCTGCTAATATTTTTTTTTCAAAAATGTATTGCTAATAATATTTATTTTTTTGTTGGTAATATTTTTTTTCAAAAAAGTATTGCTGGTAATAGTTTTTTCTTTTTTTTTTTCTAAAATTTATTGCTGGTAATAATTTTTTTACAAAGTATTTCTGTTATTAGAAATATTTTTACACTTTCATGGTGATTTGCCACAGTTTCGGGGTTAACTATTTGCCCATACTTGGGACCCTAACCGGTGCTAAAACCCCGGAACTCCTGGGAAAGCTCCTCAAATCCTCCTGATCAGAGGCCTTGCTGCTGGCCGTAGTTTATAGTCTTACCCCGGTCGCGAATGTAATTTATCGTCGTACCCAGGACGGCATAAATTAAGAGAGGTGTCTTGTATTTTTATCTTTCGCAAGAGCGATAGTGCGAAGGACTTCACGAATTTTGAATTTGTCTCGCCGATTTCATATTCTCTGCGGATAAATCTTTTCTTACCCACATATCCCAGTGACAAACAGTACATTGTAGTCTTACACAAAATACTCTGCGCTGATCGGGAAACTACTCAGTGTAGACAGCAGTTGTTGGGGTTCAAATCTGACATTTGGTGACCGATAAGATTGGGCATACTTCAGTTCATTTCACTATCTTTGTATCTACGTACGGCCTTTTGACTTAAAAAGAAATCGGACTAATTTTATTGCCATCCTTGTATATATGTATTAGTTTCTATCTCAGTCACACGTGATACTTTACTATAAACTTTTATTCTTGCTTTCCGTGACTCATTCTCTGTTAGCAATGAGACTATTCATTCAGGATTATTTAACAGCAAGAGATAATATTCAATCAGGATAATATTCGGTTTCTTTGGCGATAAGAAAGACATTGTGACAGATTGGTGGTTATGGATCAGCCGTATTCAAAAGCTTTTGCAACTTTGCATAATTTTTGCACTTTTGGTTTTCCTCCCAATTGTGTTAATAAAAAATGCATTTCGTTAAAAGACTGCAAAAGATATTTCGAGGCGTTCTATGCTGTGAACAATAAAACGTTTCTAGGAGAACGGAATTATGAAGTTGTTGGAAAAAATATCTGTATATAGCGGGACGAAATAGTAAATATCGTGAAAATGCGAATGTCGACTACGCTCAGAAAAATACACATGCAAACACACGAATGCACACAAACACATACACAGTTGACAAACACAAAAATACAATTGCACATAGAAGTAAATAAACGTACACAGAAGTACGACGAAAAAATAATATACCCAACCACACCCATAGGCATATAAATACATACAAAAGCGTACTTATATGTACACACACTCATACACAACCACATTCACATAATTATGAGATAAGAATAGATACGTAAATGCATAAGTATATACTTATCAATATATATATATATATATATATATATATATATATATATGTGTGTGTGTGTGTGTGTGTATGTGAGTGTGTGCTTGCGCATATACATATAAAAGCTTATGTGTATGGTATCTATCTATCTATCTATCTATCTATCTATCTATCTAATCTCAGTTTGTTATCTATTAACTATTTATATGTATTTGTGCATATATATATATATATATATATATATATATATATATATAGATAGATAGATAGATAGATTTCATCTATTTCAGTTTGTTATCTATTAACTATTCATATGTATTTGTGCATATATATATATATATATATATATATATATATATATATATATATATATATATATATAGATAGATAGATAGATAGATAGATAGATAGATTTCTATCTATTTCAGTTTGTTATCTATTAACTATTTAAATGTATTTGTGCATATATATATATATATATATATATATATATATATATACATACATACATATATAGATATAGAAACTGATAACAAGTTGGATAGGTAGATTCTAAAATACAGGCAGATAGATAAGATTTTTTTTTCCTATAATATTAGTTTTCCCTCATGAACTCTCACTCTCACACAGACACACACGCACATACACACTCGCATACACATTCGGATATACACACATATATACATATACATATATATATGTGTGTGTATGCACATTATCGTATGTAAAGCAGGTATCTATTGTGGATATAATCTGAATGAACACTATGTATGTTAATACAACAACCATGCTTTTCTCGTTCTATATATTGCCTTATAACAAGACTATATATATAAGCATACACTGGTTTTTGCTACTCTCACTAATGCGTTTGTATATAATTTTATGTTGCCTTCTGTTTGAAATTTTCTCAGTTTGTTTGCCTCACATATTTAAAATTCTTGAAAACCATTCCCGTTTCCCAGGAGTTACCGTTCCTTCCAACATTATATTTATGTATCTACTTGAGAGTTTTATTACAGTTTTTATTTATTAATGGTGGGACAACGACTTCGGTCGTTTTCATTTTCCTATTTCTTCTCTTTTTCAACCACTATTCTTTTTTTTTTTTCTTCATTTTTTCCTTAACTAATCTTCTCTTTATTATCTATCTGTATACGCGCCATTATCTATCGCCATTGTTAAACTAAAACCCTTTGTTTTAAGGTTACCTTTTTCTTTTAGCATTCAATAACTTCCGTCTATATATATATATATATATATATATATATATATATATATATATATATATATAAAAGGTTTCTCTTTTGTTAAATTTCCCGTTCGTTTTTTTCTTTTCTTTCTTTTTTTTTCTTTTTTCTTCTTTCCCACTACTCCATTTTTCCTTATGTTCTCAAGTCCCTTCTTTTTTAAAAATTCAGCGTCCTGCTTCTGTCTTTTTGTCCTTTCTTCTTTTTTTCTTCTTCACCGCCCACCCTTTACTTCAACATTCTCCTTCCTTTTCTTCTTCAGACTTCTCTTTCCGCTTTCTTTCTCGAACTCTTCACTCACTTTTTCTCACTATTCTCCTTTGTCTTCTTTTTTACTCAGTACTCTCACCTTTTCTTCTTCACTTTTTTCTCTCCCTTTTTATCTCCAAACTTCTCTTTCCCTTCTCTTCTTCAATCTTCTCTGTCTACATATCTCTTCAGCTTCTTTTCTCTCTTTTCTTTATAAGTCTTATCCTTCCCCTTTTTCCTCACTCTCTTTTTAATCACTGTCTCCTCTCACCTTTTCTTCCTCACTCGCTTCTCTCCCTTTTCTTCCTTTGTCTTCTTTTTCCCTTTTCTTCTGACATGTCTTCTCTTCTTTTCCTTTCCCAAACCTCTCTCTCCCTTTTCTACTTCAATCTTTTCTCTTCACATACATCCCCAGCCTCCTTTCTCCATTTCCTTTCCTAGTCCTATCCTTCCGTTTTCTTTCTCAGTGTCCTCCCTCGCTCTCCTCTCTCTCGCTTTTCTTCCTGTTTTCTTTAACCCCCTTCTTCATGACTCTTTCTTCCCTTTTCCTCCTAAAACGCCTCATTCTTTTCTACCTGAGCCTCCTCCTTCCATTCCACTCTACTTCCATTCTTTTTTTTCTTGTCCTTCTTTATTCTTCCGCATTCTCCCCTCTTCCTTTCCATCATCTTTATTTATTCTCCCTTTTCTTCTGCAATCTCTTTCTCTCTCTCTCTCGTTACTTTCTCGGTCTTCTCTGTCCCTTTACTTTTGCAATCTTCTCTCTCTATCTCTCTCGTTACATCCTCGATTTTCTCTCTCCCTTTCTTCTGCAGTCTTCACTATTTCCCTCTCTCCCCCTCTCCCGCTCGTTACTTTCTAGGGCGTCTCCCTTCATTTTCTTTTGTAATCTTCTCTTTGTCTTTTCTTCTGCCGTCTTCTCTCTCTCTCTCTCTCTCTCTTTACTTTCTAGGGTTTCTCTCTCACTTTTCATTTATACTCTTCTCTCTCTCTCTCTCTTTCTCTCTCCCTCGATCTACTCAGTCCCTTTTCTCCTCAAGACAACTCTCCCGTTTCTATCCAAGTCTTCTCTTTCTATTTCATCCTACAGCCGGCTTTCAAACATTTCTTCCACAGTCCCCACTTCCTTTTCTTCCTTTGTCTTTTTCATCATTTTCTTATCTACACACTTCTCCTTCCCTTTTCTTTTCCAAACTTCTCTCATCTTTTAATTCCTCACTCTCCTCTCTCGTCTTTTCTCAGTCACCCTCGTCCTAATTTTCTCAGTCTTTCTCGCTTTTTGCCCACTCTCTTCTCTCCTTCTGTTTTCTCAGTCTTTCCTCTCACGTTTCTCCCTCACTCTCCTCCCTCCTTCTGTTTTCTCAGTTTCCCCTCTCACGTTTTTCCTCACCACCTCCCCCCCTACTCTTTTCTCAGTCTCCTTCACGTTTCTTCCTCACTATCGCCCTCTTTCTTTTTCAGTCTACCCTCTCACGTTTCCCTCACTCTCCTCCCTCCTTCTGTTTTCTCAGTTTCCCCTCTCACGTTTCTTCCTCACTCACCTCCCCTACACTCTTTTCTCTCTCCTGCTCACGTTTCTTCCTCACCTCCCCCTACTCTTTTCTCAGTCTCCCGCTCACGTTTCTTCCTCACTATCGCCCCTCCTTCTCTTTTCTCAGTCTACCCTCTCACGTTTCTTCCTCACTCTCCTCCCTCCTTCTGTTTTCTCAGTTTCCCCTCTCACGTTTCTTCCTCACTCACCTCCCCCTACTCTTTTCTCAGTCTCCCGCTCACGTTTCTTCCTCACTCTCCTCCCTCCTTCTCTTTTCTCAGTCTTCCCTCTCACGTTTCTTCCTCACTCCACTCTCTCCTTTTATTTTCTCCGTATCCACTCTCACGTTCCTTCTCTCCATTCTCTTTTCCCAGTCTCCCCTCTCATGTTTCCTCCTCACACTCTTTTCTCCCTTTCTATACTCAGTCTTCCCTTTCACATTTCTACCTCACCTATCACTTTCCTTCTTCATCATGTCCTCTCACGTTTCTTCCTCACTATCCTCCCTCCTTCTCTTTTCTCAGTCTTCCCTCTCATGTTTCTTCCTCACTCTCCTCCCCCTTCTCTTTTCTCAGTCTTCCCTCTCACGTTTCTTCCTCACTATCCTCCCTCCTTCTCTTTTCTCAGTCTTCCCTCTCATGTTTCTTCCTCACTCTCCTCCCTCCAACTCTTTTCTCAGTCTCCCCTCTCACGTTTCTTCCTCACTATCCTACCTCCTTCTCTTTTCTCAGTCTTCCCTCTCACGTTTCTTCCTCACTCCACTCTCTCCTTTTATTTTCTCCGTTTCCACTCTCACGTTCCTTCTCTCCATTCTCTTTTCCCAGTCTCCCCTCTCATGTTTCCTCCTCACACACTTTTCCCCCTTTCTATACTCAGTCTTCCCTTTCACATTTCCACCTCACCTATCACTTTCCTTCTTCATTATGTCCTCTCACGTTTCTTCCTCACTATCCTCCCCCTTCTCTTTTCTCAGTCTCCCCTCTCACGTTTCTTCCTCACTCTCTTTCCGCCCTATTCTTCCTCTTTCTTCTCTTCCCATTTTTTTTTTTTTATCTTCAGTCTCCTTTTCTTAACCTTACTCATTTTCTACTAATTTTAAATGAATTGCTATCGCCAGGGGAATAATTAAGCTTCTGATTACCGAAAAGATTGCCGAAAACCCCCAAAATTAAAGAAATAAAAATGACGTCTGCTGGACACGAAAGAAAAGCAAATGTCACATAAAATAATTTGAAAAAGAAAAATTCTTATAAAAATGGTAAAACAAAGAAAGGGAGGTAAAAAGAAAGAAAAGAAAAAGAAATGATAGAGACGAGAAGAGAAAGAATGAAAAGACTGAATTCAAGAGAATTAAAAAAACGCAATAAGTGAATTTGCTAAGAAATTTTGTTAGAAGAGAAGAAAGCAACGAGTAGTTAGAAAATAAAATAAATAGATAAAAAAGAAAGAAAGAAAGAAAGTGATATCGTAATGAAATAACGGGGAAGGAGGAAAAAAGGGAAAGCGAAAACTTATATAGTTTAAAAGAAACAAAGATGAAACCATAGAAAATCGTATAAAATGTATAAGATCTCTAGGGAATGTCTAAGGAAGAAAGAAAGAAAGAAAGAAAGAAAGAAAGAAAGAAAGAAAGAAATGAAGAAAGGAAGGAAATAAGGAAGAAATGGAGAAAGGAAAAAAGACCAAAATGTGGCATAAATTCAAGAAAATGAAGCAACCCAAAAATGGAATTAGCCGAGGAAACTAACAAAAAGCGTAAAGAAGAAAAGAGCAGTTAAAAAAGAAATGAAAAAAAAAGAAGAAAAAGACAGAAAGAATGAAAGAAAATGATGCGGGGGGGGAAGGAAAGGTAATCGAAACAATATAAGAAAATTAAACAAGACGAAATTAAACAAAAAGAAAAAAACTAGAAAAAGAAGATAAGGAGGAAGAAATAAATAAATAACCAAAGAAAGAAAGAAAGAAAGAAAGAAAGAAGAAGGAAATAAATAAAGAATGAAAGGTGGAAGGGGGGAATAAATAAAAAAATAAAGATGAGTCAAATAAATAAATAAATAAAGAAATAAAGAAAGAAAGAAAGAAAGAAAGAAGAGCGAAATAAAGAAAGAAAGAAAGAAAAAAGAAGAAAAACACGAGGGAAATAAATAGATAAATAAATAAATAAAGAAAGAAAGAAAGAAAAAGTGAAAGAAAATTCAAATTAATCACTAAAAAAAACAAAACAAATAAAAACAAACGAAAATAATAATAAAAACAGGAATAAACAGAATAAAAACTAAAACAGAAAGGAAAGAAAAAAAACAAAATGGAAACAATGAAATTACAAGAAAGAAAGAAAGATGAAAGAAAGAAAGAAAGAAAGAAAGAAAGAAAGAAAGAAAGAAAGAAAGAAAGAAAGAATTCAAATACCAGGAAAATTAATCATTAAGAAAAAACATATATAAGTAAATGAAAAGAAAAATAATGAAATAAATAAAAGAACGAAGGAAAACTAAAAGAAATAGAAAGGGAAGGAAAGAATATAAAGGAGAGATAACGAAATTAAAATAAAATGAAGAATGAAAAAAGAAAGTCAATGGAAAAAAAGCAATATGATGAAAAAAAGCAAGCAGTAGAAAGAAAGAAAATAGAAAATGTCGAAAGGCGATAAAGAAAAAGAAAATGAAAAAAAAACAAAGGACTTTGTAAAAAAATATATATATTTGTGCAACGTGGAAATAAATAAGAATGCCCAAAAGATGAAAACAAAAATTAGCAATTGAAACAAGGACGATAAAATGGAGGCTTCACTGAAACTGTAAAATATGAACGACAAAGCATGAACAAAAAGACAAGAAAACTAAAATTCATACTTAGGAATTCTTTTTAAAAAAATCAAATATCTAAGGACAAATTGCAAACGAAACATACGACAGGGAGTTTCAAAATGATAATACTAATAGTTATTTACTGCTGCGCAGTATATAACACCTTGTTCCATTATATATATATATATATGTGTGTGTGTTTTGTTTTTACATTTTAACTACAATTTTAGTACGTCGTATATTTGTCGTTTTCAGGTATATTGACCGATAGGTAAGGCTGTCACTGTAAACGTTCATTTCTTTCGTCATGATTAATGAGAAACGAAAGGATACAAAGAAAAGTGGAGACGTCAAATAGAATGGCTTCCCTAAAATAAATTCGTTTGGAGAAGAAAAAAAAAGGCTAACAGAGGCGGACCAGTGTCATCCTTCCAATATTGAGGCGTGCTGACATTCTGAATATTTGCAAGCACATCGAGAACAAGCGCATTTCTTTTTGATTCCACTCTGTGCAGTCGTGAGCAAAACAACAGTGCCTGTAAACAAATAAATGCTATTTAGTCAATAGTACTTGTCCGCAGGCGATACATCCCGGGGTAATTGTGGGTAAACTAATCTTATCAGGCTTTAGTTTTCAGCAAGCCGGACTTATTACTTGTAGCCTTGTGACAGAAATATGTTATCCTTATTAAATAATATCATGTCACGTTATGGTTAACAATTAATGAGCCAGTCTCATGATCATTACAACTCAGTTTTCAATGAATACGAATCTTATCATCAACATCACAGTCTCAGAAAAATATTGGCTTCCCAAGCTGAAGTGTTAGACTCAAATACAGCGTCTCATGAAGCTGCGAATTGAAACCTGAGAGACGCAAGCATAACAATAGATGTTGCATGTACCGATTTGTTCCGATGTTGGCAATGATGTAATGGAGCCTTCCTGTTTTTTTTCTTTTTGTTCAGTTTGCGTCGCTGTTATTTAAACAAGGTCAACCCACTGTAGACTGATTGCTGTCAGTGAAGTGCATTTAGATGTGGTAAAGGTTGATATTAAGCAATAAAAGGTTTTCTGTCTATATTTCTGAGATGAGGTATTATGTACACTATTTACATTATTCCGACTATTGTCATCATCTTTGTCGCCATATTTATTACGTTGTACGCTCCGGCCTTCTTCAGGTGGTTGGAATGTCGAACTGAACTCTTTATTTCGCTGACTGACACATGGAACTAGAACAGCCTACCCCAGTGAGCGAAATAAAGGGTTCACTTCGACATTCCAACCACCTGAGGAAGGCCGGAGCGTACAACGGCCGAAACGTTGTAATAAATAAGGCGATAAGGATGAGGACAATATTCCGAATAATGAAAATAGTATAAAAGCTTTTGTTTTTCAGATGTCCTGAAATCGAAGTTGTAGGTTCCCAGTGTGCATTTTTCACAATACTTCCATCTGCCATCCTCCGTAACTGGTCCAACTAGCGGAAACGCCGCTGCCTTAGAAGAAACTAGAAATTATGATCTTTCCAAGCCCGTCCCTTAAGGTGATGGCCACTATGAGTCTCAGGAAGAGAAAGTTAAAATTATTTTACCTTTGGTGGTGTTCATCATCATTCCCAACACTAGGTATGGTCGTAAGGTCACAACGCAGCGGAATATTTAATCGTTTCCCTCCATATATCTCTGTCGTGTGCCAATGTTTTGATCTTTGGTGATGTCGATCGATTTCACTCAATCACGTTATTAGAACATTAGTTTCAATTTCTACCTATTTTTTTCTTTTACCTTGACAGCGGGCGAATATTCACAACACCATGAACATTTCACCTTTCACTTCTTAAATATGAATCTGGCCTTCAAATAGTCGAATTTCTTACCTCGTCCTGTCTTGCACCCCATAATTTGTAATGAGGTCCAGGGAGGAGATTCCGAAGAGGGTTCTGTAGTATCTAATTTCTAATGCTTTGAATCTACAATTCTACAAGGACGTTTAAAATATTAGAGAAACAAACACGACCCTGTCAAACTTATAATCATGTAGGTGTAAATGCTTATCCCTTGTCTCCTATTAAGATAAGTTTCTGGTTCCTTCTAATTATTTTTCATTCCATACCTGTCAATATTTCTGAGATAGTTGTTATCATATTCACGAGGTTTCGGCCGCTATACCTCCGGCTTTCTTCAGGATTTCTGTATATTTCTGGGATCAAGCATAGTAACTGTTTACATTATTTACATTGTTCGGACTGCTGTCCACATTTTTTTTTGTCATATTCACGACGTCTCGGTCGTTGCACTCTCCGACCTTCTTCAGGTGATATACGTTGGAATATCGAACCAAACCCTTTATTTCAACCCCTAGGCTAAAATGTTCGTTGTACCATGACTTTTTCTGGATATCTCAATTCCCCTTTTTTCTTTTTAGTAACTCAACTCTCCAAATTATTGTTTTACCTTTGCTGTGGCCAGCTATTGAACTCACAACTCTTTGGGACATGTCACTTGATTACTTCAACAACGCCCAGTAGATAAAATCGTTGGTTGGACTAGAAAAATGTAAACCAATGGACAAAATAAAAGGTTCTATTCGAAATTCCAACATATATCATCTGAAGACGGCCGGATTGTATAACGGCCGAAACGTTGTGAATATGACAATAAAGATGAGGACAACAGTCCAATTAATGTAAATAGTGTAAATAGTTATAATACCTCATCTGAGAAATATAGACAGATCGTGAAGAATGCCGGAGCGTACAACGGCCGATACGTCGTGAATATGGCAATAAAGATGAGAAAAACAGCCCGAACAATGTAAATAGTCTAAATAGTTACGATGCTTCATCCCAGAAATATAGAGAGATCCTGAAGAAAGCCGGAGCGTATAGCAGCCGAAACCTCGTGAATATGATAACAACGACGAATAGTCCGAACCATGTAAATAGTGAAAATGCCTAATCTCAGAAATACTGACAGATCCTAAAGAAGGCCGGAGTGTGCAACGGTCGATACGTCGTAGATATGAAAATAAAGAAGAGCACAGCAGTTCAAACAATGTAAAAAGTGTGAATAGTCTTTTCATTTTCCTTAATTCTCAGTAGACCCTCGGCTCTTAGTGGAATTATCGCCTTGATTGCGGGATATTATTTTAAAATATATTATGATTGTGTTAACCGGGTAATTATTACCGTAAAATCCAGTATTAATTATTTAAAAGATAACGTAAAAACTGTATTAATTAGTTTTAGCCTTCCTTTTCT